TGTGACCTCACTGCCCGGGCTGCCCCAGTGCATGCGCTCCTTGTCACCTGTGGCAGGCCAGGGCGCTGCACCGAGAGTGGCCCGGCTCCTCTGCCCCCAGCGCTCGGGGGCTCAGCCGCTGCTGGCCTGCGCTCAGCTCTTTGGCTGTGCTGGACAACCGCGTGCACGGCCCCCTCACGGCCCCCTCCCCGCCTCTGGCGCAGGGGCTTCTGTGCCGCATCCGGCTCAGGCCGTCCTTGTAGGTGTCAGGTGGCGTCTGTATCTCATGCTTGGTGTGGCCCTGGGGAGGAGCCTGGGCCGGCCTCAGCCTGCACCTCCGCTTGCTGTGGCTCAGGCCTGCATTTCCCTGCGCCGTGCTCGTGGGTGTCTGTCCGTCTTCCGCGGAGCGATGTCTAGTTCACTCCTCGGCCCATTTGTAAGCCAGGTTGTTGTCTTGATTTTTGGGTTGTGTGTGTCGTGTTGAGGTCCTGGTTCTCAAGTTCCCTGAGAAAGGACGTGCTTTCTGTATAGCCTGGGCTGGTCTCGAACTCACTGCGATCTTCCTGCCTCGGCCTTCTGAGTGCTGGGATGACAGGTGTGCACCGCCACACCCAGAAAGGACCTGCGTTCTAGTGTGTGAGTTTTGAGCAGCTCAGTCCAGAGGTGGTTCTGCCCTCACTGGCGGCTTCCTGACTGCAGGTGAAGGGTCAGGAAGGAGCGGCACGCAGGCCCCTCGTGTCCCCTCCCCTGACGGGCTTGTCCCCTCCCAGGCCATGGGCATCAATGACCTGCTGTCCTTCGACTTCATGGACGCCCCCCCAATGGAGACCCTCATCACGGCCATGGAGCAGCTCTACACACTGGGGGCCCTGGACGACGAGGGCCTGCTCACCCGCCTGGGCCGCAGGGTGAGGACGAGGCACCGCTGCGTCCCTTGGCCGGTTGGGGCTGGTGCAGGTGCTCTGGACGGGGAGGATGGGGGGTGTTGGTACCTGCTCGCAATTGCGTTTTTCCACCACTGCTTTTTTTTTGTTTGTTTGTTTCTTGAGACAGGGTCTCCCTATGCAGTTCACGCTGGCCTTGAGCTCACTTTGTAGCCCAGGCTGGTCTTGAACTCACAACGGTCTTCCTGCCTCAGCCTCCCGAGTGCTGGGATTTCAGGCGTGCGCTACGATGCCCGGCTTCCACCCCTGCTTTAAACCGTTTCCTTTTAAGAGTGGGAAAAATTGATTGAGAGAAAGAAAGCTTCTGTCTGAGGAGGACAGAAGGGGCCTGGAAAGTGGGTTGCCTCAGACCATTTCCTCTTTGTAGCAAAAGATTGGATCACGGGTCACTGCCGAGGCCCCTCCTGAGCCCAGTTTTAATCTGAAGGGCTCTGCGGAATCCTTCAGATTCCTGCTCCCAGAGGGGGCTGTGTGTGTCCCGGTCGCCCGGGTTCCGTCAGAGTTTATTCGGGGGAGGAAACCCAGGCGCTGAGCCCCTCCGGCCTGGGGCCCACCGCGCGGGGGTGGCCCGTCCTCTGACTCCCCGCTGCGTCCCCAGATGGCGGAGTTCCCGCTGGAGCCGATGCTGTGCAAGATGCTCATCATGTCGGTGCACCTGGGCTGCAGCGAGGAGATGCTGACCATCGTGTCCATGCTGTCGGTGCAGAACGTCTTCTACCGGCCCAAGGTGCCCGGGCACGGGGTGGCCGGCAGTCGGGTCCTGGGGCCAGGCCCAAGGTGCCCAGGCACGGGGCGGCCGGCAGCTGGGTCCTGGGCCAGGGGTTGGGCAGGGAGTGACCGCCCTCCCCCGCGTGACAGGACAAGCAAGCCCTCGCTGACCAGAAGAAGGCCAAGTTCCACCAGACCGAGGGCGACCACCTCACGCTGCTGGCCGTGTACAACTCCTGGAAGAACAACAAGTTCTCCAACCCCTGGTGCTATGAGAACTTCATCCAGGCGCGCTCCCTGCGGCGGGCACAGGACATCCGCAAGCAGATGCTGGGCATCATGGACAGGTGGGGCGGGGCGGGCGCTTGGTGCGGGCTGGCAGGCTCTGGGCCGCCGTCCCGAGTGAGCGGCTCACGACTCCACCGCCCCCGCCCGCCAGGCACAAGCTGGACGTGGTGTCGTGCGGCAAGTCCACGGTGCGTGTGCAGAAGGCCATCTGCAGCGGCTTCTTCCGCAACGCGGCCAAGAAGGACCCGCAGGAGGGCTACCGCACGCTCATCGACCAGCAGGTGGTCTACATCCACCCCTCCAGCGCCCTCTTCAACCGGCAGCCCGAGTGGTAGGTGCAGCCCCCGGGCCGCGGGTCCCTGCCCTGTCCGTGCCTTTACCGCCCCAGCCCGTGCCTGGTGTCCCTGACCCCAGCAGAAGTGGGGGTCGGCGCAGTGTGAAACCCTTGGGGGGCCACGGGCTGGAGTGAGGGGCTCCCAGGGATCCGACTGGTGTGGCTGTTGGAGACTTTGCAGAGCAGCATTTATAAAACACCTGGCCTGTGCAGCCGGCTGTGGCGGTGCCGCCCTGTAATCCCAGTGCCTGGGAGGCTGAGGCAGGTTTGAGGTCAGCCTGGGCTGCATAGGGAGACCCATCTCAAATAAGGAAAAAAGTCAGGCTCTTCAGAGAACTCCAGTGTAAAACTGACTTAAAAGTCCTGTGCCGCAGTGGTGGAAGGTTGGGGCCTTGCGTGTCGCTCCCTGGTGTTTGGGGTCCCTCTTCCGGGAGAACCTGGGATCAGAGAAGGTGTGGTGGGCTGCCCCCAGGGGCCCAGGGCTCACTGTCCTGGAGCCCACGTTGGGGCGCAGGCTGCGGGCGGGGCCAGGCTGTGGTCCCCAGACCAGGGCCTGGGGTCAGGGCTGATCCCGTCCCTGCCGCGCAGGGTGGTGTACCACGAGCTGGTGCTGACCACGAAGGAGTACATGCGCGAGGTCACCACCATCGACCCGCGCTGGCTCGTGGAGTTCGCGCCCGCCTTCTTCAAGGTCTCCGACCCCACCAAGCTCAGCAAGCAGAAGAAGCAGCAGCGCCTGGAGCCCCTGTACAACCGCTACGAGGAGCCCAACGCCTGGAGGATCTCGCGGGCCTTCCGGCGGCGCTGAGGGCCCGGGCTGCAGCCCCCCTCGCCGTGCGTCCCTGCTGGATACCTCCCCGCAGGGGCGGAGCCCGGCCTGGCTGCACTGCGGCCCCTACCTGCTCGGAGCCGTGGAACCCGGACACCCTGCGTTGTCTGCAGGAGAGGCAGCGGGTGGGGGAGCCCCGCTACCACCCACGCCCTCCCCCTTCCCCGGTCACCTCCCGGAAATATTTATTTTCTTAAGGAAATGAGAATGGCTTCCTGTGTCTTTAGCTGAGGGGTTTAGCTGAGGGGTTGCGGCCTGGCTGGCTCGGGCCGGTGATGTCTGGCGGAGAATCCGAAGCCTTCCTGGTGTCCCGGCCTGACGCTGCCACCTGGGCTGGGACTCAGCGTGGCCTTGTGGGAAGTGCAGGCCACGCGCTGGGTGCAGGGTGTTGGAAGTGCCCCAGGGGCGGCGCAGCGCGGTGGGCCTCATCAGGGGGCTTTTACAGCCCAGCGGCCCGCCCCCCGCAGGAAGACCCACACCTCCGTCTCCGAGGTGTTCTCCGTGGCTTGTTGGGTGGTGGTCACCACGACCCCTAGAAGCTGAGGCCCTGCTTTGGGGGACGTGGACGGGCCGAGCCCTCCCCATCAGCAGGAAACAGTTCCCGGGCTGTGGGAGCTGGGGGTGGGGGTGGGCGTGTGGGTTGCAGATCCCGCAGCCCCCTCATGCTGCCCCAGTCGTAACTCTAGCATGGTCTCCCATGCCAGGCTGCCCCTGGGCCCAGTGCCCGCTGCCCAAGGAGAGCACTGTGGGTTTTTTTTTTTGGTGTTTCTGAGACAGGGTCTCGCTATGCAGTCCAGGCTGGCCTTGAGCTTACTTTTGTAGCCCATGCTGGCCTTGAACTTGCAATGATCCTCCTGCCTCAGCCTCCTGAGTGCTAGGATTACAAGTGCATGCCACCATGCCCGGCTTATGGGTTTTGTTCGGTAGTACAAGGGGCTGAACCCAGGGAGCTCTACCCCTGAGCTGCATCTCCAGCCCTTTTTGAGACAGCTTCACCGTGTTGCCAACTCTAGCCTTGAACTTGGGGTGCTCCTGCCTCTGCCTCCCCCTCCTTTGTTAGGGTCCCATGTATGCATCAGCCCTGTAGCCATGTGGCTGTCTGGCTATCTGCAGAGCTGGGGTCTCCGCTGTGAGGGTGTGGTCAGGCTCGGCCTCCACTGTCCACGGTGACAGCACGTGGGGACTGGGAGGCAGCCTGCCGCTCTCACTGACGGTCTGGGTGTGCGGATCTCAGGCGGCCCGGCTCTTCCCGGCATTGAAGTCCTGTTCACCCCAGCTGAGGAGGCCCAGCCTGGCCACGCGGTGGCCCTCATGCCACTCTGCTGAACACGCCTGCCCCTCTCCCTCCCAGCTGGGGTGAAGCCCACACCCGGGGCCTCTGTCCTCCCCGCACCCTGGCTTCCTCCTGATGTGTGACCCCCCACTTTCAAGGGGAATTATATATTTTTTAAAAAACTTAAGACTTTCCGTCCTTGCTTTAACTCCTAAACAGCACGTGGGTAGAAATGGTCACTGGTGGATCCGGCTCAATGCAGGGTCTCTGCTCACCTGCTGGCCTGGGGGCCTGGGACACCCACCAAGCACCTCCTGCCCCTGCTCCCCACCCAGGGTGCCCCTCCACCAGCCCAGCTGGTCTGGGGCAGTGCTGCTCGCCCGGCCCCTTCCCTGGAAGGTGGCATCTCCAGCCCCATGGTCCTGCACCGCCTTCAGTCCCTGGACAAACCCTGCCGCCCAGGGAGACCAGCATCCCATGGCGGGGACGTGCTGTGGGTAGCGCACACCCTGCTGCCAGCCCGCCCCTTTCTCAGGAGGACGGGGCCAAGCGTTTTCTGACCACTGCTTGGGAGGGAGAGGCAGAGGGCGCCGGGCGAACGACCCCTCTCCACGGGCACGCCCAGGGAGCACAGGGCAGTCAGACTGAGGGAGGCAGGGCCTTTATTAAGGTCCCGGGCGCAGGAGGAGCCCCTCCCCCAGGCCACAGCACCCAGGGTCCTGCCCCACCCCAGACAGCACCAAGAGCTGACAGCACCCTTCAGGGCCACGGCCTGGGCAGGACGGAGTCCGGAGCAGAGGGGCTCAGGGGACCCCAGGCCCCAGTGCCAGGGTAAGCTGGGAGCCCGTGGCCTCAGGATCAGGAGAGGCTGAGCTGAGCTCCGGGCGCAGCTCCCAGGTCCTCCTGTAGGCGGCCTCTCCTCCTTCCCTGGCTGTGGGTCCAGGGGCCGCAGGATCCGCCCCAGGCCGTGGGCTCAGCTTCCTGGCTATGTACACGGGCAGGGCCCACTGTGGCTGGGCAGCGTGGACAGCTAGTATGAGTAGCCGCCCTTGGGGCCAAAGGGCTGGGCAGGGCCAGCCAGCTCCGGGAGGTAGGCGGGGCTCTCGTCCAGGTGGGACAAAGGGACTGTGTCCTCCTCGCTGACCAGCCGGTCAGCCTCGGCCTTCAGAGCTGGCCGCTGATTGTCTGGGAAGGCCAGGGAGAACAGGGCCTCGGGCTCGCACACGAACTTGTACACGTAGCGCTCCCCAGCCACCTGCGGGGAGAGGGCCTGCTCAGCCCTGCCATGCCCCCTGCCCGAGGCCAGGGGACCAGGGGACACGGGGCCTGAAGCCCAGCCCTGTTCCCCCCAATCCATCGGGCGTTTGTCACGGCTCAGGGCTTTTCTGAGCGGGGACCTGTGAGGCCACCCTCTTGCTCTGTCCCTGGACCACACTGGGTGGCGCTCCCTGCCCGCCCCGCCCGCCCGCCTGGGACCTCAGTGACCTTCTGCATGATGCCCTTCTCATAATAGTACCGCAGCGAGCGGCTCAGCTTGTCGTAGTTCATGGCTGGCCGGTTCTTCTGGATGCCCCAGAGCCGGGCAACCTGCGGACAGAAAGGACAGCTCTGGGGCGGAGGAAAGGGGGCAGGGGAGACAGCCTGGCTGAGAGAAGCCAGGGCGGGCGGCAGCAGTGATGGCAGCCGCCGGGCTGGGAGCATCAGGGCACCCACCTCCTCAGGCTCGATCAGCTTGAACTCCATCCCCCGGCCAGTCCAAGCGATGAAGTGTGCGTTCGTGGGGTCATCCAGCAGGGCCACCAGGAACTGCCAGAGCTGCAGGGCGCCGCGGCGCTGGTAGGGCGGCCCCTCTCGGAATGCCCCGAGCCCCTCTTGCTTGATGTCCCCTGGGGGCGCCAAGGGAAGAGGTGTGGCGCTTGCTTTCTGGACCCCCAACCAGCCTGTTCCACTCGCCAGGGCACCCCGGGGCCTGGCCTGGCACAGGAGTCCCCGCAGGGACGTGGGAGCGGGGAGGTGCGACCCACCCCTCCCCTGTCGCCACTTCTGACCTTCCAGCCTCTCAGGGACCACGCAGACGTCCTCTGGGAAAGGTCGCAGAGCTTTCTCATAGCCATAACCTTGGGGAGGAGGGTGCGGCGGCTCAGCTCCGAGGGTCCGCTCACGCGGGACCCGCATCCCTCCCTCCACGCCGGGCCGCCTTACCCATGGCCCGGTCACCGGCAGCAGGCCCTGAGAAGCCCTCTGGGTGGAGGTACATCGAGGCACAGCCAGGGACATCTGCAGGGAGAACGGTGCTGTCAGGGGGCGTTCGGGTGGGGGCTCCCCAGGAGCCTGCCCCCCGCCAACTCCTGGGCAGAGCTCATCCGCGGCAGTCCCAGGCCTGGGCCCCTTGTTCAAGGGCTGGGGTGGCACAGCCGGGCCCGGATTCCAGGAGCAGCTGCTTCCTGTGCCAGGGGACGAGGGGGCGACAGGGACCTCCGGGGAAGGAGTATGGTGTCCGTGGCCTGGGACGCCCTCGAGCTGGAACGGATACACGTCCGGCTGGCAGGTCAGTTTCCCTGCCCCGCGCACGTGTGTGTGTGTGTGTGTGTGTGTGTGTGTGTGTGTGTGTGTGTAAGAGACAGGTTGCCCCTCTGGGCTGTTTTCCGGCCCAACAGCCACCTCATTCCACTCCGTGGCGTGGCTGCACCCTCGGAAGCCACCAATCCGGTCCTGACCTCTTCCGCCTCCCCTCCCTGCACTCCCACCATGAACAGCTGAAACCTGACACCTCTGGCGGGGGCGGGGCTGGCTTCACTCATCCTCCATTTTGTGAATGGAATTCTTGATTCCATTCAGGACTGAGAGGAGGGCGGCAGTGTAACACGATCTGCGTCCGCTGCCTTTGGAGGTCAAGGCCGAGCCCCGCCTCTGCCCGCCACCTCCCTGCCAGGCCGGCATGCTGGCCCTGGGCCATTCTAGAGAGTCGGGTGGGAGGGAGGATGACCTCCAGCTGGCTATGGTTGTGGTCGGCCGAGTGGGAGGAGGTGGGGTTCCTGGCAGCCCGGCCGGGGCACCGTTTGGGACGACAGGGATGTGGAGAGGCCCCGGTGCCCTGGGAAGTGTGAGCCAACTGCGTCCTGGGCCTGTCCTCCGTTCAGACCCTGGTGAGGCACAGGACCCGGGGCAGCACACCCCGTCCACCCCGCCCGCTCCCAGCCTCCTCGCTCCTGCTCCAGGCTCACAACCGGGGGCTTAGGTAACAACCCCGGCACCTGTTGGAGGCGAACGCCTTCACCTCTGCTTGTCTGCACACCCTCTACCTCCTCCCTTCCTTTTCTTTTCTTCCCCACAGAACTGGGATCGAACCCAGGGCCTTCACACTGAGCTACACTCCCAGCACTTTTTAAAAAATTTATATTTTTAGGGTCTCACTAAATTGCCCAAGCTAGGCTCAGGCTTGTGCTCCTCCTGCCTCAGCCTAGTGTTGGGATGACAGGCCTGCACCACCAGGCTCAGCTGCCTTTATCTTTCTATCTATGCTTGCTGACCGGAAAATGAGTTCCTTCCAGTGTATGAAAAGGAAGCCAGGGGCCGGGTGGGCTTCCAGGCCGGCGGTCAGCCGTGGGAAGCTAAGAGCCCGCGGGAGAGGGAGGGCCTCTCACCTGCGTCGTAGGCGAAGTCAGTCTGCTCCTGCTTGATTACCACCCCTGCCCCCGGGTACCTGTGCCCGCGGAGCCCGCCCCGGCCCGCCTGCTCGTACAGGGGGTCGTGGTACTCCTGCTTGAAGCCCTGGTGCGGGTACGGCGGGCAGGGCTCCGGCAGCGGGTGCTGGTAGGGGGCTGCCAGGGGGTCCCCGGAACCTCCCTGGGAAGGCGTGAAGGAGTGGCAGGCGTCCAGGGGCTGCTGGAAGACAGGGCTGGACGCAGCAGGCAGGGAGCAGACAGCAGAGAAGCTTGCGTTAGGCCTGCTGGGGTGACTCCGGACCGACACGCACCCCCCAAGGCCGGGGCCCAGCACCCTCACCTGTGCTCCCCGAGGTGCCCGTGGCCGGGGTGGGGCTGGCTGGGCCCGGAGGACCTCAGGAGACCCCGCGGTTCTGCCCGGGGGAAGGGCTGCAGGGGCGACTGTCCAGGGGCGCCGGGGGCAGGGGACTTGATGGCGGTTTGTCTGGGGGGGGCACAGGCATGGGGTGCAGGGGAGGTGGGGTGAGAGGGCCGAGCAGCGGGGAGGGGAAGCCGCGGGTTGGGGGCCTCCTCCTCTCCTCTCTCCTGTTCTGAAACTGGGCCTCGGCAGAGTGGCCGACCCGAGGGGCAGACCCTGCGGCCCTCACCTCCGAGGTCGTTGTCTGCCTGCATCGCCTGTGTCTCCGCTCACGGGTGGGTGCCTCCCGCCTGGACCCAGGCCCCTGACCCCTGACCCCTGACCCCCGCGCCAGCGGCCTCACCTGGAGTAAAGGCACTGCTCGCCATGGTGGTAGGGGGGCGGCGGCTTCCTGCTGCAGGACAGGGCCGGCTCAGCGCGGGGGCTCTGGGGCTCCTTCTTGATCCGGGTGGTCGGGCTGTGAAAAGCTACTGCGGGCACGGCGAGGCCATGGGGCGTCACGGGGCGCTGACTCCCACCCTGAGGACCGCTGTGCGGCCCCTCCCCCCAGGTCTCAGTTCCCTGAGACCCCTGCTCAGGTGCTTGAAAAACAGGTTGGTGTTAATGTAATTTTTCCCCCTGCACTGGTGATTGAGTCCAGCGTCACGGTGAGCTGCATCCCTAGACCTTTTTTATTTTGAGACCATGTCTTCCTGCCTCAGCCTCCCAAGAATGCTGGGAAGACAGGTGTGCACCCTTAAGCCCTGCTGGCTGGCACCCAATGTTAATTGAGGAAACCATGTAGAAGTCCAGCCCTGCACGCAACCTGAGACCCCGGAAGGCTCCTTCTGGGTAGCGAGCACCTCCAGCTTGGGGCCTGTGGTTTCCTCAGCACCCTGGGAAGTTCCAAGGGAGGGGCTGTCCTGGCGGGCAGCCCATCTGCATGTCATTGAGTGACATTAGACACATGCTCCCAATTATCCGTGCAGAACGCAGCCTTTCCTGTAACCCACTGGGGACGGCCGCCCACATGTGCCAGGCCATGCAGATGCCCCGGGGATCCGCTGCCCTCCACGGCTGGTTCTTCACAGCAAAGCGTCTGTCGTTAAACCACTGTTTCTGCACAGTGGCGCTATGGACACTGGGCCAGATTTCAGTTTGTGATTGAGGGGGGCCGACTGAACACTCTCAGGAGCGCGTCCAGACCGAGTGGCCCGCAGACACGGCCAGCCGTCCCTGGGTGGGGGCAGGAAGCTGAGGACCGAAAGCCTGGTCCGCAAGCCTGCTTGCACCCTCACTCCAGGGAGGATCAGAGAGGGACAGCGTCCACCCTGAGGCTGCACAGCCAGGCAGGGCAAGCCCCAGACCTGAGATGGGATCCAAGGTTGTCTCCCTCTTGCCGCCTTGGGCCTGCGTCCCCGCCCGGGGTTGGGCAGCCCTGACCAGCACCTCTCCTTAGAAGAGACTGGGTGGGCTGGGCGATCGGCTGGCTCTTGACCCATTTCCTGTCCTCCCCGCCCCCACTCCCAGCTCCCAGCTCTACTTACAGTTTTCCGAGTGGAAATCAGGGACGAACTGCTCATCGCTGTCTGGTACCTGAGCTGCAGAGAGGGAGAGGCGAGGCTGCGGGGAGGCGGTCCTGGGCAGCAGCCCTGGGGCAGCACGGCCACCGCAGGGGGCACAGCCCGGGGCTGCAGCCTGCCCGGACGCCCTGCCCTCCAGCTGGCCTCTGCCAGCCTCCAGCCTGCACTGGACACTCTCTCTTCCGTTTCCCTTCGAGCCGCAGTGCTCCAGCAGTCTGGGTGGGGATGGGCAGGACTCACAACCAGGGCACCCCGGGGTGTGGAGCCAATTGGGAAGTGTCTGAACCCGGGGCCCCAGAATTTGCACTGGAACGGCTTCCAGGGGCCTCTGGGACACACCTGAGGTCTGGGGCCTGGAGTGGGGCTGAGACGCTGCCCGGGCACAAGGCTGGAGCCAAGGGGCCAGGGTGGGTGTGGCTGGGCTGGAGGACAGGCGGGAAACCTCAGAGGGACAGCTCAGGGGACAGGGACGTGATGCCCTAGCTGGGGGGAGGGCAGCATGGAAGGGCGCCTCCCACAAGGAGAGCAGAGTTCCAGCAGGGCGGGGACAGCGGGAGGAGCCCACGGTCTCAGTGAGGCGAGGCCCCTGCTGTGCACCCCACCACCACCACTCTTGCCCTCCTCTCGGGCTCCGGCTTTGTCTTGTACCCCGGCTCCTCTATCCAGTGCCTGAGCAGGGCGGACAAGGTGTCACTTGACTATGTGAACGGGGCTCAGGTGGCAGAAGCCAGCGTGGCCGAGGCACACAGGGCACCAGGGAGCCCCTGGCACTGCATCTTCCGAGGGGCTTCCGGCCCGTGGGGCCAGCGGGCAGGAGGGGCCTCAGGCTCACTCTGGACACACAGGGGCCGTGGCCGCACGCTCTGAGCGGCCGGCCCTGCGACTCGGCCTCCGTTCTTTAAATATCTTTAAAGTGCTGCCTCAGTTTGATCTAGACCAGAAGACTAGACTCTCCCCAACTACCCGGGGCGGCCCCCATCCACTTATGGGGGTGTGAGGTGTACAAAGCCTGTGGGCGACAGTATGTGATCTATCTTCCATTAGTTACAATGTGTTCCAATAAAAATAAATATAGGTTTAGGGACGGTGGATTTCTTGACAGACAGGCAAGGGAGTTAGGGACTCAGGAGCCACAGGCAGCTGCAGAGCTTGTGATGGTCACCAGGATGTGCAGGTGGGGTGAAGTGGTTCACGCGGCCCCCTTGGCAGACACGCACACACGCACTCACACGCACACCCAGCTCACACTCGTCTTTCTGGGAGCCCGGTGTAGTTCCAAGGTGGCGGTGCCTGGTCTGTCGGAGCGGATTCCCAGCCCTACCCCTGCCCGAGGTGGTCAGCACCTGTGTTTCTAACCAGCGCCCTATGCCCTGGTGACCGTTAGGCACAGGCTCACGTGGCCGCACCTGGTGGCGCATACCAGTGCCTCACTCAGGAGGCAGAGACAGGAGGGCGGAGGGCTTGGGCCCAGTCTGGGTTACACGGCAAGACCCAGCCTCAAAAACCCACACAGAACGGCTCCTTTGAAAGCGCTGGAGACCAGGACACAGGATCAGCTCGCCGCCGGGTCAGGGCCTGAGCAGCTCCCCAGGGTGCTGGCGAGGCGGCTCTGGGAGCAGGTGGGCACGGGCCCCCTCCCCGACGTGTGGGCCAGGAGGGTCCCGGGGGCAGGGGCTGCAGAACTGACGCACGCTGGGGTGCCCCTGGGGTCTCATTAGCTGTTACTTTCCACTGAGGTAACGGGCTGGGGGCGGCTCCGTGACGTCACCGGACAGGGAGCCGACGGCCCCAGGTCACCAGGCCTCCTCCTGCCTCAGGCCTGCAAGTCTCCCAGAACCCTGAGAGGCTCCTCAGACTTGAAGATCACACCCAGTGAGGGTGGTACCACCCTCCTCCCGGAGCTCAGGCAGACCCTTCGCCTAGAGGGGACAGGGCCTGGTCACCCAGACTGCCCATGAGGACAGGGCTGGGCCCCGCAGCGGAGCCTGCGCCCCTGGACAGAGGTTGTAGTGACCAGTTGGGTCTTGTGTGTAGACCACGCGACTCATTGGGTGACTTGGCTGAATTCTGGCCCAGGGTCCCCTCCTCCCCGCCCCCAACTCTATCGGGGTACAAAGGTGCAGGGGGGCAGGGCCAATGCTCAGGAGGGGAAGGGCCGAGGCCTCCCCACTGCAGGTGCGCCCGCCGCACCCCCCCAACCAGGAGGAAGCAGCGCTGCCTGCGCAGGTGCCGCTGCCTCCAGGAGCCCTGGCCGGGGAGGAGATGGAAAGATGGAGGAGGCATTGTGCTAGCGTGGCACGGGGAGGGGGCTCGGCGTCTCACTCAACACGCGTCCTCAGCACACGCCCTGCACGCTCAGGGTGCACATGCCCTGGTCCCTGAAGCCCCAGGGGCATAACGTCTGCACTTGGGGTCTCTCTGGGTGGGGAGTCAAACGGGCCCCCTGGAGGAGGGCCAGGGAGCAGGGATTCTGGGAAAAGCTTGAATCCTTCTCTTCCTAGAAAATCCATGCACCCCAGGGCCTGGCACCCCCCCAACAATTTCACGCGTGGTCTCCGAGGGGTGGGACCCTGCAGCTCCCATAGGCTTCAGGAGTGACAGACCCCAGCCTCACACAAAGGACCTCAGCGGCCCAGCACTGCCCCTCTCTGCCAAACGGACATAAGGTCGTTGTCCCCGAGGGTTCCCGAAGGCTCCAGCCAAGTCCAGCGGAGAGCCCAGGGCCGAACCCAGCACATCTCCCCCACAGCTGCACACGTCTGCCCGAGCCTGGCGTCCTTCCCTGTGCCGGTCTGAGCTCCTCTCCAGCACCCCAACAACACGTCAGGCACCCAGAAATCAGATGCACCCCAAGCCGCAGGGTACCCTCCTGCACTCAGAAAAACCAAACCCCGGATGTCCATGCTGCCTGCGCACAGCCTGACCACACCACATGCACCCCAGCGCCCCTGGCCTCCCCTCCCTCGGCGCCAGGACCTCGCTTTTCTCCACCCTGCTGGATGCACCCACCTCTGGCGAGTTTCCCCCGGACTTGGCCTCTCCCTGACGCCCCAAGCTCCCCCAGGCGCCCGGGGACACTGACCTGGGGGGAAGAGGCAGGAGAGGAGGCCGGGGTGGTGCTGGGGCGGTGTGGGGGTGCAGGGCCCTGGCAGCTGCATCTGTCTCCGCGGAGAGGGCGGCGAGGAGCGAGTGGCCTGAGCCCCCCAGGCCTGGTCACCAGCGCCAGCTGGGAACCCGAGCGGCTCCTCCAGCGCAGGAGAGAGCCACCGCGCTCCCAGCCCCCTCACCCGCATCCCCACCCCTCCTCCCACCCCCGGGATTTAAATGGACAGGGACGCCAAGCAGCAGCACGGGGCGCGAACACACACACACTCACACACGAACACGCACCATCTCTACACGCACCTCTGGGAAGGGGGTGCTTCCAAAACCCCCCGAACCCAGGCAGATGGGCCAACTGCTGCGGAAACGCCAACCTCAGAGCCACCCCTAGCTGGAAGCCCTGGAGCTGCCCACAGGGGGCGGGGGACCTCCGCGGACAGCCAGGGAAAGGCTCCCCGCCAGCCAGACCCAAGTCAGGTGCTGGGAAAGGAAGTCCTTCAGCGCCTGGAAACTGACACCTTTGGTATTAGCCCAGCTCAGGAACCTGGGGTGGGGGCGGAGGGGTGCTGGGCACAGCTCTGCCCACAACTAGGCGGGCACGGGGCACCCGGAGCGTGCAGACTCTGGGGAAGGTGCCCACAGTACCCCAGGACCCCGACTCCCCCGGCTCCCACACGCAGGTCTGCCTTATTCCCCAGGTGTCTCGAAGGCAGCTTTATGCCACCCGGCCACTCTGGAGACATATTCTGGAGCTGCTACCGCGGTGGATGGACCAAATCTCACCCCACAAACAGACGGAGTCAGGTGCTATAGAGGGTCCCAGGAGAGTTGGATTTGAGCTTAAATAATTGCCAAAGACAGACACCCCGGATGGAGGAATAGGGAGGTTCTGAGGAAGAGAAAAGCCTTCAGAAAGGGGTTCCTAGCGTTCCAGGCTCTTGGTCCTCAGTGTTAAAATAAAGGGGTGTTACCCAAGATGGGGGCGTTAACCCTTCCCTCTCAGAGCTGCTCTAAAGCTCCACCTGCCGCCTGCACCCCACCAGGGATGCCCTCAGGCTCCACCCCGGCCAGCTCAAAGCTGTCCCCCAAAAGGCGCAGGAAGGGGACACTGCCTGGCACAGAGGTATCACCAGGAGGGACTCAGGCAGGGGCGCCGCTGGCATTAGAATTACAATTGAGGCTATTGGAGGCAGCCCCATCCTCCTGCCAAAGTGCTGAGAAAAGAATTATTCAAACTTTTGTTTTTCTTTTGGCCTGGACAGTAAATCAGCCCTGAGCACTGGGAAGAAGAGAAACAAGAGGATTGGAGTCAGTGTTTGGGCAGCTCTGGAAGACAGACACCAGATTAATTGCTCTCTCTCTCGTCCTCCTGCCCCCCAAACCCCAACACCCCAGCACACATCTGGACCCGGCCGCTTCTGCCAAATGAACTTTGTAAATGAAATTTTCAACCAGGAAAACGGGCCCAGGGCCAAGTTCCATTCAAATAAGCAAATACCCCACACAATGGTCTGATTCATCCCCAGGCCTCCTTAGGCAGCCTGGGTCAGGCCAGAGAAAATAAATATCAATATAAGCGTCCACGCTGGGCGCTGCCAGAGGGCCAGCCGTGGGGGATTGGAGGCCGCCTTTAGACGGGGAGAGACGGAGAAGAGGGGCGAGGCTGGGACACCCCAACAATAGGAGGGTCACAAAACTCACCTTCTGCGAGCCACGTCTCCTGGAAGTGACTTAGATCCTGGAAGAGATCTGAGGGAGGAATGATGAACTGCTGGTGAGGTGGCCGGCCGCGGTGCCGGGAGGGAGGGGACTCCGGCGACCCCGGGGCTTCCCGCCACCCGGTGCAGCCGGCGCCCAGAACGAGCAGTTCCGGGGAAGGCAGTCTTTTTGGGAGCTGGAGGTGGGGCGGGTGCTTCCAGGCCCGGCCCTCCAGGTGAGGAGGGGTCTGCTCTGAGCCTGGCTCTTTACCTTCCGAGTCGGGGGGCGGCAGGGAGCCAGGGTCCATGAGCTTCCTCTGCGGAACCATCAGCCCTTCGCGAAGGCTCCCATTTCCGGACAGTTTCTGAAGGGAGGGGAGACGGTGCTCCAGTCCGCCCCAGCGCCTAGTGGGGGGCGGTCCCAGGGGACGGGGTCGCGGCGTGACTGCGCCCAAGGGGGACGGGGTGGCGTGGGGATGGAGTCCAGGGAACAGGGTCTCGAGGCGATGGGGTCGCGGGGGTGACTGGGGGCGGGGTCGGCGCTCACGCTGCAGGCGGTGTAGGGCACTTGCTGATCCAGAGATCCGCCTTTCATCCTCCGCTCCATCCGGCCGGCCCGGGCCACCCGGCCAGGACACGCGGGGGCACTGAGCGCGGGGGGGGGCGCTGTCCGAGGGAGCTGCGGGGGTGGGGCGGGGAGCGGGGGGGACAGTCCTGAGGCCTGGGGCGGCGCGGAACTTCCCCGGCTCCGGGATGGCGGGAGGACCTGGTGCCCTCACGGGTCCCACCTGCTCCCGGGGGCGCCGCTCTGTGGTCGGCAGTCTGCGCGGCGGGCTCGGTTACATAAGACGCGTGTGCATGCGTGTGCACGTGTGTGAGTGTGCGCGCGCGCGCGGGGCGCACCCCATCCCGCGCCCCCTCCTGT